AAATATGGCAAGGTTATAGTTGATGATGGACAAAAAGTTTATAATAATATCAATATAGTAAATGGTAGTATATTTGACGAATTGGAGGTTTTCCAATTAATTGATAAATTATAGAATATTAATAAACGCCAGGATCTAATAATATTGAACTATAAATAAATGTGAATGAACAATGAATTATTGTGAAAATAAAATTCAAATTTTTTATCTATATATATATATAATGAATATATATATAATAAATTTGGAACTTTCTTACATCCATAATAAATAGAATTAATTGATGGATGAATATATATATATATATATTAAATAATTTTGAATTTTACGTCTATAATTAATGGACGTATATAATAAATTTGAATTTCCTTACATAATAAATGGAATTAATATATAATAAACTTGAATTATTACATCTATAATAAAGAGTTAGCTGTTAAGGAACTTATATTTAATAAATGGAGTTGTTAATGTGAATATATATGAAATAAATTTGACCTTCTTGAAATTAAACTGTTAGACAATTTGTTGTAGTGTCATCTAGTCCAATGGAAGTGCCAACTCTGCTGTAGCAGGATAAAAGATAATAATAAAGAAAACAATAGCTAATAGTGAAATAATAATGGCAAGCTTAGTACCATCTGAAAAGATTTTTCATGAACTGGGGATAGACTTGGTAAAAATAATAAAAACAAACGATTTTTAATGAATTCATAAAAAGTGTATATTATTTGTCTAGTAAATTATTAATACAAAATTCGTCAAAGTTCTTAGCTGGCTAAGGTTTTTCTACCGAATGTTCTTGTGTCCATAGCTTTTAAAATGGGTCCAGGATGATAAATATAAAATTTTTGCTGCAAATACCAGTTCAACCATAAATCTGAGTGGAAAAGAAGTATAGTGTCTGCTAGTCACTATTACTATTACTATGTATTAGTATGACTATTCTATTTACCAATTAACTTTATAAGCAAAGAAATTGTAATTGGAAACCAACTTTCAGAAGTCAATCTAATTTTAAGTCTTTTGTATGCTGGCTATTCATTACGCGCCTTCAGGAATATAATAAATGTAGCATACCATTGGAATTAATGGATAAACATTATATTTTATTAACTGAATGCACCTGAAACATTTTTCGAAAAGAATAAAATAGGTCCTTGATAGAGTATGGATGGGCATAAGAAGAAAAAGCTCAAAGTCAATCAATGTTACAAACAGTATACCAAAGCATATGAGCAGTTTTGTTTCTTCCCCCGAATTTGAAAAAGACCAAATTTCAAAATGACGTTTTTGAAATTTGCTTTAATAAAAAATTGTTATAATGCAACCTTTGTTGTAGGAAAAAGGCAAATTATAATGGACAGAAGTTACATAAACTATCGCGGATTATTAACATATATAGAAATGACAGGTTTTACATTCAAAAAATATAAAAATATTCCATTTACTAGGTTCGTTTAAAGTTGGTAGCGCAAACGGGTTAAAATAATTCGATCACTCGTTCATGTTATAGTCTAGACAAAGCAAGCGTCATAACGTTGTTATCTGTAGAAGTGCATACCAATCTCTCACTTACTCGTGCGCACTATCAAATTCCTTCCACTTCATCACGGCTGAACCCTTCCCATGTTTGATAGATGAGTGAATGAAACATGAGCAAAATTATTCACTATATTAATCTATATTTTTTTTTTGACTGCTCGCCCCTGCAGCACTTGCAATCCTTTTGTTTGCTGTTAATCTAGAATGCACGAATCACAATTATTATTACTAAATTTATAAAGAAAACAATAAAAAATAATGAATACAACAAACAAATAATGTTTAACAATAAAAATATAAATATTTTCGATTTTTGGTTTTTTGTATTTTTTTTTTTTTTTTTTTTGTTTTTCCTCTCGAAAATTAATTAATAGACCAATTCTAATTTAGCGCTTTATTGAAAAAAATAATTTTTTTAAAATAAATTTATAAATAAATATTATATATATACACATTAAATAAATATGGACTTATATACGAGGCCAATAATTTTTCGTATTTTAAGAATTTTACAGCTTTTACATGCCTTAACCTGTCTATCTATAGGTAATTATTATTGAAAGAATTGATCATTGGACGTTTAAAGGGCTCTAAAACTGACATTTTCTTTTTATTTTTATTTCTTTTTTATTATTTTATTTTTACTTTTAAATTTTTTTGTTAGAGATAGCACAGTTTGTTATGTTTTCAAATTATGCAAAATCACAAAATTTAAGGATTTCAAATTATTTCAATGAAATTGGAATTAGTGACAGTGGTGATAGTAACAAGTAAGCCGTTCCTCTATTTATTTTATCATCAATCAATCAATCAATCAATCAATCAATTTATTTATTTTTTTATATATAGTTTTGAAAATTATGGAATAAAAGTTATTTATTATGTAGTGATACTAGTCACAATTATAACAATTGGTAAATCTATTTATAAACATATGCTTGCTATGTGTATGCTAAATACACATGCATTAGTATTCTGTATAAATTAATTAATTATTTATATTAAATATTACCATGTTTAGTGTGGTGTTTGATAAATTTTAACAAATTCTGGAGAATTCCTTCATTGCACAGAGACATTAGCATTGATAGGTAAATATTTTATATACTGTATACTATTATATAATTTATTAATGTGAATTTTTTATCTTTGAAATTTTTTAATAGTTTTTTTGCTATAGTATGGACTATTTCAGGTAATAATTAATATAATTGATAAATTAATTAAATTCATTCATCCATTCGTCCATTCATCCATTCGCTTATTCGCTTATTCGCTCACCAATCTATTCATCCATCCACCCATCCATTATTCATCGAATTCATATTCTTTCTTCAAATCAAAGGTTCAGCAAACATTTATTTATTGTATAATGTTGGAATTTTTACTAAATGTTCTTCATTTCCAATAACGGAGTTTGATAGTTCAACTTGTATATTATCTATAATAAGTGTAACATTTGTGTGGATAAATGCAGGAACATTTTTGTTATCTATAATATTATTTTGGAGATTATCGAAAGAAATAGAGTGGAGAGGAACTTTAGTTATTCACAGGCAATCAGTTAGTAGTAATGGTAGTAATAATAATAATAATAATAACAATAATAATAGATTAAGTACTATTAGGATGAGTAATAATAATAGGTTGGGTAATAATAATAAAAGATTTAGCAGTAAGAATAGATCCAATAGGTTAAGTAGTCTTATTTATTAATGTTTTCTTAAAGGAAAAAAAAATGTAAATAAAATAACTGATAAATTTGGTAGTGTAGAGTGTGGATGATGCCTTCGTATTACACAACATATAATTACAATATATAAAATAAAAAAAAATAATGTCAAAAAAAATTTTTTTTTTGAATCCTTAAAATCCTTAAAAACCTAAATAAAGATATTAACTGACGACGGTTAAAAATGTTATAATATTAGATTATTTTTTCATTGTTCTACAAGATCCTTTTTCTTATTCGATTTACTTTTAGCCTTTAAATTTTCCACTTTATTATCCATTCTTTCTGTTCCCAAGTTTTCTTTTCTATTATTATCCACGGCTTTCTCATCCTCTCTTGGATGCTTATCATGTGCCTATAATATAAGTTTGTATTCTTGGAATTTTACTAATTGGTCCGATCAACTAATAAATTCGATAAATGCCATAAATATATTTAGTCTTTTGATCTTCAAATTTGTCAAATATGAATATATACATAAATAAATAAGTAAATTACTGTAAATAACCAATTCAAACCTTTTTTAGCCAATGTTGAGTATTTGCATGGATCGTACAAAATCAGTTAACATAATGATGATGCGTTGTACTTAATAAAATTAAAATTAAAATTAAATTAGAAAAAAAACTCACGAATAATAATATATATATGTGGAAATGGTAATCTACGTTTTTTTTTCAGTTTTTTTTTTTTTATTTTAATTAAAAAAAAAAAACTTCTAAATTTTTACGAAATAAAATAAATAATTAAACTAATAATAATAATAATAAAAATCAAAAAAAAAATAAAAATGAAAAATTTAATAAATTCAAACTTTTCTATAATATCAATGATAATAACAATAATAATATCATTTACACTCATTTTAACGACGAGGATTCCATTGACGACAGCAGAAAATAGACGAAATTTAGAAATATCAAAAACACTTCCTAATCGCATAATAATAAATTCATTCTCGATAGACAATAACAGCAACACCAACATCAATAGCAATAGTATAAAAGCGTATAAATTTATATTTTCAACAACGCTTATACCAAATTTTCATATACAAACTTTTCAAACCATTAGTAGTAATGACAATGGTGTTGATGATAATGACTATAATGACAATGATAACGAAGAAGAGGAAGAATTGAAATCGTTAATCAGTTTTAGGGTTGGATTATTGGGATTGATCGAGTATAATGACACGATAACTTTGAGCGAGAGCACTAGTTATTATAGTTTGATTGGTAAAGGTGGATTATGGAGTGGTATTGAGATATCTAGTGAAGGTGACAATATAAAGAAATTCGAAACTAGTCTAATTGATAATACTAAAGGACAAAATCTTATAGTTAATATCATTGGATTCATCACTGGGTGGGTATTTATTATCAATCAATCAATCAATCAATCAATCATTATTATTATTAATTATAATTTAATTTTTGTTTTTTAAGGAATGCTACAAGAAACAGCGAAGGAATATTGTTGAGACCTTCAAGATTAAAATACACTCTATCGTTTAAAAATTTTCCATATATTTACAAAGACTCGAAAATAGCAATATTGCATGCTATATATTCATCGTCGACTTCAACGAAAAAATATGATTTAACATCTGTCAATATATTAGAAGCAGGAAGAAATTGTGGGGGTGGAAGAGATATAATAAATGTCGGAAAATTTGAATCGATTTCAACTGTTTTAGCAGATGGTAAAAAATATGATTTATTACTAGAACAAAAAGTTATATGGAAAGAATCAATTGAATTAATTAGCAATATCAATCATGTCAATAACAACATAAATAATGAAGGTGATGATCAATATATAATAAATGCTAACAATGGTAACATTAATATTAATGATGAATTGTTCGAGTTGATAGCATTTAAAATTCCAGTGATACAACCAACTGAAGTTATTTGGGATCCGGAGGTTGGAATTGATGACCCCAATGATTATTATTATAATGAAAATAATGATGATGATGGTAAATCTAGTAATGCTGTTAATGGTAAAGCTGTTAACGCTGTTCTAGAAAAAAGTTGGTTTGCATTTTTTGTCATTTTAATGACTATAATATTTTTACTGTAATAGATTGTTTAATAATAATATTTAATTTATAATTTAATGATAATTTAATTAATTTAATAATAACTTTAATATTAATTATGTAAAAAAAAAATTCGTTATGTTTGTCATAAATTTTTTAATTAGAAAATAATACACAGCACATAAACACACATACAAATAAAAAATAAAAATAAATAAAATCGTAAATGAATTGAAAAATAAATGATCTGACTAAATTGGTAAAACCTGCTATTTTCGATTTAAGATTATCATTTGAAAAAAAATATAAATTCTTGGTTTTTTTTCTTTATCATCAATGAAAACCATTATTTATCATAAACAAATTTGGCACAACTATGAAAAAAAGAAATCCATATTACTAAATAAATAAATTTCATTTTTATTTTAGAAAAACTTTTTGGCAGATTTTTTATACGCTTGCTTATTTTGCTAATTATGAAGAGGGGTTTAATAATAAACACACTTTTGACACTAAAAATAATACAATTACTCATAGCGTCAGCTTGTCTTGGATTACGTAAGTTATGATGTAATCTTGCATTTAAGAAATTTATTTTTAACAATTGACTAATTTATATTTTTAGAAATATACAACTTCTTGGTATGGGATTCTTATTTGAATAGTGATCAACAAACATCATGGAATTTATTTTTTCAAACTAATCAAAGGTTTGAATTAATTAATTGATTAATCTATAATATTGATTTTAATAACTAATAATGTGATGTTATATTTTTTGTAAAGATTTTCAGAAACCAAGATATATTATTATATTGTGATCGGAGTGACAATAATCGGAATTGGTAATAATAATTCATGATAAAAATTTTCATTCTTGATTAAAATTAAATGCCCAATAATCTTAAATATATATATAATATATAAAAAATTTAGGAACAACAACATTACTTTTCAATAAATTATGGCCAAAAACGATTATAATTATAATTATAGATTTGTAAGTAATTTATCATTAGTGTGGAATTATTATTATGAATAACTATTGGAATTAATTAAATCCCATCATACATATTTGTAGAGCTTATTTAATTTTGTGGATATTAGTAGGTAAATATATATACTTGGATAGCATATATATATATATATATATATCTTATAATTAATAGTTATTATTTTTTTCCAATTCCAAACAATTAGTTTTGTTGAGATTAGAATCAATAGATCATATTAATTCTTTTGTGTGCGACAGTTATGCTAGTTATGCTACAATAGATCATGACTACCCAGAAGTAATAAAAACAGAAGATGGTAATAATGAACCAGCCCCAGTACCATCATGGATAGAACATACATGTATAGCAGATCTTATTACAATATTGCTAATACTTGCAAATACAACATTATTCATAGTCACATTTTTTTCATCAATATTTGTGCTCAGAAAAGCAAAAAATAAAGATTTGTTGGAAATATATAATGAGCAAAATGATGAAAACGAGTTTGATGTTGGCGAATTGGCTGTTGATGACGCGGTGATTGTTGAAGAATGTCAAAATATGAGAAATATTGAATCGAGATATTCTGCTGTTGATGAAAATTGGTTGAAACGAATAGTAGTTGATAATGAATAAAAATGTTATTGTATTTATTATATAGATACATGATTTTATTTTAAGCGTAGATGTGATTAAGTAAATAAATTAATTTAAACGAAATAATTAGATTAAATAATAACCAATTTACAATAAAATATTTTTCTGCCTTTCATCCTTCCAGTCGAAAAAATAAATAATTTAAACATGTTCATATCCTGATGTTATTTCATCATTATCGGTTTCCTTGATTTTCTTATTCTCATTCTCATCCTTATTCTGATTCTCATTCCTATTTTCATTTTCATTCTCATCTTTACTTTTCTCCCTGGTGGTTGTATCATCTTTTTCATTTTTATTAAATTTATTAAACAAATTCCTGACTTGAAACAAGTAAATTTCTTCCTCCGGATGACCATTCTTTTGTCTTATAATCAACACAATATAAATTATTATAGATAATGCTATTAGATATCCAAGTTCTATAAACAGGAAAAACAAATTTGCTGATCTCACTCTGCAAATATAGTCAGATTGTGTAGGATCTGCACAATTATAAGCATATACTGTTGTATCTAGTTCATCTGCAGTATTTGAATTATAAATTGCTAGAGAAAGACAAATATTTTTGAATTTGGATGTAATGGGAATAATTAGAATAGTTAGAATAATGAATGAATGAATGAATCAATCAGATAAGTTTTAGATTAATAATAACTAATTAATCAAGTAATTTAAGTAAATAATTACATGCTATTAAAATCCATAAAGTTAAAAGAAATCTAATATACGAAAGAAAGTTATTATATATAATTTTTTCAATCAATTACCAACTAGTTATTAAACAAACTTACAGCCAAAATGCTCTTTCAGATCTCGGAATTGGAAAAAATTGTTTAGTTAAATATGCATTTTTCCATGATAATGCTATTGTATATTAATATATTTATTAGTATATGATATTTACGAATCACAAATTAATTATATATAATAATTATTGATTAATATTTACCAACATTAAAAAACAATAAGATTGTAAATGTAATATAACTAAAATGAAAAATAAAAAAGTGTTATTATTTGGATTAATGAATAAAATCAGAAAGAATCAAGTAAAAAATAATTATATATATATAATATACTCACAGTCCTTCCAGTGTCTCAGAATAGTCAACATCGTTACTACTAAAAGTTGCAAGTTTTGCAAACTCTAAAATTTAAAAATATTGTAATTGAAAATTAATAATATAATTCAATGAATTCAAATTTATTAAAATTATTCAATATTGCATACCAAAAACAATACATAATATTGTAAACACCGTTGTGATTATCAAAAATACAATATAAATTCGTGTGAATATTCTTTCCAAGAAATGATTATCAACATTCATATTTTATTATTTAATAATTTTAAAGAAAATAAAAAAACCATGTAGAAATTTTTTGAGAAAAAAGGCTCGAAATAAATAAGCATATATCTTAAATGTATAATTTTGGAAAGATTATATGATAATCTGTCAAATATTTTCATGATCATGTTTGTAACTTTCCAACTGCTGACTATTATAATCATTACCTGAAAATGGCAAATTACATCATTGTATCGTATCGTGTTAGTATTAGTTATAAATTTTTTATTATGATCCAAAATTAATTTGTTAAAAAACGGGATTTTTTCCGCGATCTACATTGTTAAATCACGTGCCAAATTTTAAATGTTTTCTTCTTCTCAAAGTTTTGAAGAAGAATTAAAAGAATATGTTATTAATAAATACAATAAACATGTGGGATATTTATTTATTATTGTCCATCATACAAAAATTAATTAGTGCGACGATTGTTTCATTATTTGATATCTACACCAATCCTATGAAATATACTAAAATCCTACGAATAAACATATAAATATCTAATTTTTTCTCGCTTGTTGTAAACAAACCATTTTCTTTTTTTTAATTTAAATAGAAATAGAATAAATTAAAATTAATTTTTAAAAAGGTTAAATCAAAAATCAGGAGGAAAAAATCAACTCAAAAAATGATTTAATCTCGTATTTTTAATATTAAAATAATAATAATAACAACAAATAAATTATGGAATTGTTGATGAGAGCATTATTTCATTTTTTACATTTTTTAAAAATTTTCGCACTCATTTTAACAATAATTTTTGGTAAACCCATTTTTTTTTTGGAGTTTTATTTATTTATTTCTAACAATGATAATATAATGACAATTAACAAATATTTTTGGCATAATTTAGGTATATTAAAATTTAATATATTCTCAAAATTAAATGAAGAATTGTCATTTAACAATATTTTAGAAATAACGTAAAAAACACTAATATAATCATATCATTTAAATATTTAAATATTATTATTTATAATTAATACACTAATTCTTTAAATAATAGATATATTTCTATAAGCTTTTGTTATTTGGCTTTTTGTAAGTAAATCATTATTAATCTTCCGGGAAATTTTGACCAATTTTAACATTAATTAAATTTTTATTGACTGTAGTTGCAACATATTTACGATTAATATTTTCATATTCAGAAGATTATCATTATTATTATTCAAAAGATTATTATGATTTTTGGAAGAAATATATACAATTATATAAAATAGAAAGGTAAATTAATTAATTAATTGGTGTATTCATCATACTAATATCAATCAATTATAATAATAATAATTATTATTATTTAATATTACATTCTAGCATAATATCTTTGATATATTTAATATTTGCATGTAAGCATATCCACACATTTAAACTACAAGTTTTGATTTTAAAAGGCTCTAATATTGTGATAATTAATACTATTTAATCATTAGGCATTTATACCAAATTAACATCTAATGTAATAGAAGGCGAAATACCAATAAATTGTCCAAACGATTGGAAATATCTTCATCAATTCAATGATAAGAATAGTATTAAGGAAGCTTGTAAATATAGATTATATAATTTGATATTTCTTTGGTTGACAATATCTTTACATATGATAGTCATCCCCATATTGTTGTATAATAGAAGAAGAACAAGAGTCATTGAAGATTCGACTGGTTTGTATGAATGATGGCGAGGGAATTAGAGATGTGGATATCAGGATGAGGGAGAGAATTGGGCGAGAAAAAAATTAGGAGATAATAATTTAGTATTTATCTAGAATAATAATAATCAATAATAATCATTTCAATTTGTAAATTTTAACCAAACAAAAAAAAAGTAAATAAATAATTCATTCTCAATCAAATTGCAAATAATAATGATTTTTTTATCATGACGGTGTTTCATAGATTATCGTCATCAATGAAAAAATATAAATAAACAACCTCAAATTTTAGATTTTAATCTTTGAATTTGTTTTTTTTCTTCGTAAAAAGTAATTTAATCGCAATAATTAGAATTACACGAGGCAGATTTAAATAATAATAACATAATAATAAGCAAACCCACAGCGGAAGCCTGTAGTTTAGGAAGCGATTTTCTATACCGAAACTATTCACCAAAGATATTTCGTAACTCCATCATAATTCGGTGGGCATTAGGTTTAGATAACTTTAGAAACTTAATGGTGATAATTTTATCGATTAACAATGTTGTTTGCAAATGCATCTTTTTTAAATTAAAATTCATAACCACATAAAGATCTTTTTTTGCTCAATATTACTAAGCGACAAAAAAATCTTGAGTATATGCGTAGAATGCATGTATACACTCACAACAACAATTAATTGACGGAAAAGAAAAGACAGCGTGGAATTTGTTTATTTATCCATATCCCCGAGATAATAAAAAAGCATACATTTACATAACAAATAAAAATGTGATATTTTGAATTTTATGTTATTTTCATAAGCAACGTTCACTATGTTTTCCCAATCCTATGTTATATATGTTTTTCAATCCTATGTAAGTTGTGCGGATCTAATACAAATAAAAAAAATGCTAAAAAGTTTTTTTTTTTACAAACCAAAATTTGTTTCCATTTACTATTTTATGAATGAAATCATTAACAATTGGAGGAGTTTTATTATTATATAGTTTGTTAATATTAATTATATAAATTGTAAAGGTAAATTAATAATTTATTTTATGCTGAAATTTATTATATATATTTTTTCTAATGTAAAATGAGTATTTCTCTACTATTCAACGATATAGCTATTTAATTATAAGCAACACAAACAAAACAGGGTGGACAGACAAATAATTAGATCATTTGGGATTTTATAGATAACTTTAATATTTGCATTTTAATTAGCATTAAAATTGATAAATAGATTTTGGCTCATTAAAAAAAAAATTTAGGAGCATTTCTTCAAACATGACGAATTTCAAAACTGCGGAACGATACACACAGACTTTGCCTACACGGAAAAAAGACAGGAAAGTTGATCTCATTTAACGTGATACATGCATACGTTCTTGACCCCGTCATGGAAAAAACATTGTACGATTTGGTCATGAAGTGTACGACAATTGGATTTTATTATTGGTTTGTTAATTATATATATAACTAAAGGTAAATAAGAATCTGAAATTTGTTATATTGCTATATTAATTATAAGAACACAAACAAATAAGTAAATATATTATTATTCTGCATATAATCAGATATTTAGAAGTAATATTTTAATATTTTAAAAAAACAGTATGGATTTTATAACTTTAATGTTACACCTTTAAAATTGATTCTTGTTTCAAATTCATTTTGAATGAAAAGAAAATTTTTACTTATGTTGCAGATCGAGAAAATGTGGTTATGTTACACATGTCTTTGATATTTTCAAAGTCTTGTATCTCATTATTATGCTGAGTAAACATGGTCTGATTTTCTCGCCAGTTGTAATCCTATCATGAATTGCTTGAATTAGTATAATAGCATATCATAAATCCACGTGAACACGTGAAACTGGATTTGCAATTCCTGGATCGTAATATAATCTGTTACTGTGTAATAAAAAAACTGAACCAAATATTTTAAATATTTTCAAACTAAATATAACAAATTAACTGATATATGGTTTCAAGAACAAATGAAATATGGCCATTGATGATAATCGAGTTGATGTGCGATTGGTGATGAGTGTGATTCGTTAGTTTTTCATACACTCTTGTTTTAGGATATAACACAAATATAAAATGTTATTAGAGGACAGATCATTATTTCATCCTCTTTCACACCATCATCGTATGATATTCACGCTGTTTACGCAACGTTTGTATATTCGATCAATTAGAAATCATAGTAGAGGTTGGAATCGTCCAAAAAAATCCTTAGTCGACTAAATTTTTTTTTTAATAATAGATAATAGTATTTCTTTTTTTTTTTTAATTTGCAAATTACAAATTCATTTCCATTTGAATCTTTCACTTTTTCAAAATAATTACACACAAAACCATGTGTTACGATTCGTTTTTTTAAAGGTCTTCTGGAACCACCGCTTAAATCGTTGGAACTTGAAGCCAATGAACTATTGACCTTGTATCGGAAGTGTTTATTAGTTCACATGTAAAATTATCATCAACACCATTGTCGTCATCATCGTATTGGTGGTATTGATATCTTACGCATATAAATTTTCCATTTTGAATGATAAAACACCAAAATCGTAATTGGTCAGACAATAATAATATTAGCATAATATCAATATTGGCATTAGTAGTGGTATTATTATTAGTAGTCGACTATTAGTTGTTCGAAAAAAAGTTTAGTCGACTATTTTAGGATTTCAACCTCTAAATCATAGTTAGTCTCCTATCACAATATTTTTAGGAGGTAAGGAGAAAAGAATCAATCTGATAAATTACTCTTAAAATATTTTATTATAATTATAGTTATAATTATAATAATTATTATTATTCTCAAGTGATCAACAAAAAGCAAGAAGAAGACAAGAAAAAAAGGAATCCAAAACCAATTATTGTAAGCACGATTGGATTTAGGAAACATAGTCACACTTTGGGAGAAAAGATAAAATAGTAAAAGAAAATAAGAAATTTTATAAACTTTGTGTTACAAGGATTTTTATTTTTATTTATTTGACAAAAGAATAATAATAATTTCTCATGTGTTCATATTTATAGATTTTATAAATATGCATAAAAATTAACATGTGGGGCATTAAAAAAGACTCCATATTACTATGTTAATATGTAATTGTCCACTTGGTTGAGGAATCTTTAATAAATTTATTAATTTCAAAGAAAATTTCTAATTCCACAAATATGGTTTTTTTTCTCTCAATTTATTATGCTTTTTCTTAATTTATAACAATGAAAAAAAAAAAACCAATAAATTCATAATGATCTACATTACATATAATTTTGAAGTTAGATCAATATCCTATTATAAAATCTAGTATAGAACTGTGTCATCAATTACATCAGTCAGTATAAAATAAGATTTCATGCCTTTTGAACCTGTGATAATTAAATAATTATTTGTTTGAGATGATTTAATCAATTAGTGAATAAAAAGATTAGGTTTTGGTTTTTTTTTTTGTTTTGTTAAAAACTTTTTTTCCAATTTTCCTTTTTTTTTTTATTCCTATAGAATTTTAAAGTTTGGCTAGTCCAAAATAACTTCAAATGTTTTTTCTGTTAAATTTCAATTGATTTGAATTATTTATAGATAAAACAAGCATAACTAAAATATTGTATAAAAACTTGATATATACTAAATATCAAAAATATCAAAAATATTAAAAATATCAAAAATTTAATTAATAATGTCAGAAATAATAGAAAGAACTAATCAAATGCAAGAACAAAAACAGGAAGAATCTCGAGAATTTCAAGATTACAAAGATGAAGAAAATCAAATCAATAGAGAAATTGTAAATAAAGATAAAGCTGATGATGAAGCTAATAATAAGGAAGACGACGAGGAGGGGGAAGAAGAAGACGACGAAAAGGTATTAGAATCAACATCATCATCATCAATAATAACAAATACAAAATCGTCGCCACTTAATAAAGACGAATTGCCACAATTACCAGCAACAACTACAGCAAAATACAGGCCAGCATACATATCATCGCCGTCGTCGTCATCATTATTATCATTATCATCATCATCAACTACTACTGCTGATAATGATACAAATTTGGTTGATAATGTTACCAAGAATAATATTATCATTGCTAAAAAACAAGGATACCAAGAGAAAGAAGAAGAAGAAGAAGGCCCGCCAGAACAAAGCAATCCGTCAAAATCAAATACTTCCTCAACATTAACTAAATATAGTAGAAATGGAATACCATTAATACATCAGAAATTAATAGATCGTCAAACATTTTCATTCTCTGCTGAATTAATATCTCAGGTGAGTTACTGTTATATAATCCCATTATTATTATTTATAAATTTGAGTTATGTTGAATATTAATCTAAAAAGAATTATTTATTTATTTTGTATAGTTTGATAGATATCGTATGCAAATGCGTGAAAGCATTAGACATGAAATAGATTGTGACGATGATTGGGTAATTAATCAATGAAAGAAACTTCTTTGTAACAATTAGTTAATTAATAATTTAAATTAATTTTTATTTGTGGTTGTGTAGAAAGTTAAAAATTCCAGTTTTAACACTTCCAATACCAAAAATACCAATAATAACAACGATAACAAGGTAGTGGATTTCGATGCAATACAGCAACAGCCTATAATTACGTCAGAAGATGATGAACATGACGACGACACAATAAATAATAATAGATCAATAAACAAGAGGAAGGAACAAAAGAAAAGTACTAGTAAATTAAAATTATGTTTTTCTAAACCCAAAAAACAGAAAAGACGATTACAACATCAGCAACAAAATGATAAAAAGTCAACTTTTAATTTATTTAAAAAAATATTTTCATAAAAGATTATAAAAGATTCTACAATTAATTATTTTAATTGATTTTTTTTCTTTTTATTATTATTATTTATTGATGATTATAAATTTATATTCACCTATATATTATACATATATTATTATACATTGTTATATATTTAATCAATATAGCATATTATCATTATAATTATCACGACTATTGTATCTATAATTACAGCATGTATTAACACAATAAATATGTTTGTTTGTGATAATGATATTGTATATATGAATGTTTATGAGCATAAACACTAAAATGCTGATGGTCGTAATGACTCTCCCGCAATTAGGATACAACCAGAAATGACAGAAGGGCAACCACATGATGGATAACAACCAACCAGAAAAGTACAATTGGAAATATGTAAGCAGTTGATCGAAAATCTGATGACATTCGTTTCCTTTAAATTTGTTTTAATAAAAAAGAAAAGCTAATACTTGAATAATTTCTCTTTCATTCAATTGCCCAAGTATCAGTTACTTTAAATATATACATAGAGCTATTTTCTCATCTTGTTCTCTTTTAATAGTGAGTGCTGTAATTCTTTGGTTCCATTAAATTTATATTTTTAGTATAGGAACAATCTTTATCTGTGGATAATAAGTAGTAGTAATTACAAGTGTGACGTTTAGCAAAATTCAATCCTTTCGACTTTGTTGTAATGTTTAAAGGATGTGTGTTTCATGTTTCAATACTGTAATACTTTTGGATATTTGTAAATATTTGTAAATAGAATATTCCGTCGTAACGCTGGAAATATTCGTAATTGTAGTAATATTTAAAATAGAAAATTCTTTTGGAAGAAAAATACCTTTCAGATAATAACAATAATATCATATTCGAACTTTTCATCCAAGTATGGAACAATTCACTTTGCAAAAAAAATCTAAAATGTTAGATAATTTGATATGAAAATGTAAATTGGGCGCACGTCACGTTATACAACATTCGTGCGACTAAAAATCTGTGCAGAAGACAATGGGGTGTGAGATGCCCTAATTAAATCAAAATTAGGTGATGTAACATAATGCCGATCAATAACAAACTTTTTTTTTAAAAAAATAAGAATATATGTAAAAACTATATAAATAAAAATTGTATCAGAGCCTTCAAATAAAGAGATACAGACATGAAACTAAGAGAAATTATAGTAAATAGATTAAGCTTTTGGATTACAGAGAGTTTTTTTTTTGCTAAATAAAAAAAAAATTTTTTTTAT